TTATTATTATTATGACTCCAAGGCAGCCGAGATGGAGGGGTTGATTTTTTACCAGGAGCAGTAGGAGATGGAAATGGGTTGGGTGGCAGTGGGGAGAGTGATTGAGAAGTTAAGGGAGATGAAGTGATGATCTGAGATCACTTTGTTGATGATGGTGAGGTGCGAGTCGGAGAGGCCCTGAGTCGAGGGGGTGACCACAGACATGGGTGGTGGAGTGGATGTGGTGGAGTGGATGTGGAAGGAGAGGTTGAGGGAGGAGATAAGGGAGGAGAAATCCGCAGACGTGAGCAGAAGGGTATCAAGTGAAGGTTGAAGTCGCCTAGAATGAGGAGTTCGGAGCAGAGCGAGAGGGAAGATAGGAGGATGGAGATGTCAGGGATGAAGGTAGGGCAGGGATGGGGGGATGGGGGGGATGATAGATAAGGAGAATTTTGAGGGAAGGGTTGGAGGGGTGATAAAGGATAAAGTGTTCAAAGGTTCCAGAGGAGTGGTGGGATAGGCCAAGCAGAGACCGGGAGATGAGAGCCACTCCGTCACCATGGCGGTTAGGTCGTGGGGTGTGATGGAAGGTGTAGCCGGGTGGTGTGGCCTCTGTCAGGAGGAAGGTGTCTCCTGGAGTGATGCAGCGGAGGCTCCCCCAGTGAAGTGTCAGCATAGACTGCATGAGTTCAAAGTCCCAACGTGTGATCTGAATAAACAACCTTCTGACCAGGGCAACGGTTGAGCCAGATTGATACCTAACGATTATGTGCTCACATTATGAACTGGAAGGACGCCCCGACCCGAAGGAAGGATGACTTGGTAATACAGAGGAGACAATGAAACATTAATGAAAAAGAAAATGGATAACTATTTCCAACTGGAATGGAACCAACAAACACATTTTGCATTCAATTTCCTCTCTTTGGGAACAGGTCACTCAGCCCAACGAGCCTGTTCTGCCAATGTGAAAGGCGCTATGTACATGTTTATTTGTATTGTACTGTAATCTGTTACATCTTATCTTTCTATCAAAACAAATCCAACTTTTCTCCATACTCCTTCAAGACTGTCTTTTGGGGTGGGGGGGGTGGGGGAGGGAAGAGATAAGCAGAGTCTTCTCAGAGCTGAACTGGCTCCAAGGTGACATGGTTAGCAAGGGAATGTCAGAAAAGCTGGACAAGCAGTGGGAAAGCTGGCCAGGCAGTGCTCTCAATAGCAAGCTATGCTATTTTAGCTGGTTAGACTCCAGCAGATTCGGGAGCGGAATCAGGAGAGCGCGGTACGGAGCGGAGGCCCAGCAGTGGGTATTAAAGCCCAGTGAGGAGGGGGGGGTCGCAGATTTACAAAGAAGTGACGTTGGCGTGACATCAAATTAACAAATGTCCTGGTCGCCCCTGTCACTGCCATCCCAGCCATGACCACACAGCCTGCGGGATGATGCCGTTCTACTGATCGCTCGTTTCCGGACTCTGCGTGCGCGTTTTGGCTGCCGCCCCGACCCGAGCCTCCCCCTCCACTCTAAATGTCTCTCCTCCCACCTCCCTCTATCCGGTACTCGAACTCTGTCCTTCTCTTCCACCGCGCCCCGCCGCCTGCCTTCTCGCTCTCCTGGACCTCACCACCACTTCCCTCCTGGGCGTCCTCCGCCAGACCCATCGTGGCTCCCGGCACTGGCTGTCCCAGAGCAGCAACCCCACGTGTCCCATCATTCACTCTCTCCACACAAACCACTTTCTTAAGGCAAATACAACTTTCCCCTCCCTCATACGTACCCTCCCCAATTCTCCACTCCCCCCGCAGTCCACAGCCATCTCTTCTGTACGCCCAAAAATCCTCTCCATATCACTCTCTCCTCCCTCCCCTCCCTCCAGCAAATCCACCCGCATTTCCCTACAAAATGTCCGTTCCCTCACAAATAAAGCCCTCACCATCCATGACCTCATCCTGGATGAGCACCTCAACATTCTTGGGCTCACAGAAACCTGGCTCTCCTCCAATGACCCCGTCCCCCTAGTTGAAGCCTCCCCTCCAGGCTACACCTTCTACCACACCCCCGGACCAAACCAACGTGGCAGTGGGGTGGCCCTCATCTCCAAAGCTTCCTTTGGTCTTTCCCCCTACTCCTCTGGCTGCTTCCCCTCTTTTGAGCACCTCACCTTCTTCCATCCCTCTCTCCCACTGAAAATCCTTCTGGTCTACCACCCCCCTAAGCCCCCCGGCTCCTTCCTCTCTGACATCTCTACTCTCCTCTCTTCCTTGTCCCTCTGCTCCGAATGCCTGCTCATAGTGGGCGATTTCAACCTCCACCTAAACTCCCCTTGCACCACATCTTCTGACTTCACTGTCCTCCTCTCCTCCCTAAACCTTCACATTAATTCACCGATCCACAACCATGGCCATGCTCTCTATCTTGTCATCACCCACGGCCTTGACATTTTCGACCTGAGCATAGTGAACAAGGCCATCTCGGACCACTTCCTCATCTCCTTCTCCTCTCACATCTCTCTCTCTTCCACCAAGCCCTCAACCATACTCTACCGCCCGTGGTAAAGGTTACCCCCTGAGATCCTCACAAAGGCCCTCACATCTTTCAATATCCTATCCCTCTGGCCTTCCAACCACAGAGATTCTGAAGCTGCTCCATGATCGCCTCTCCTCCACCGTCAATTCTCTCATCCCCTTGAATCCAGGGCCATTTCCAAACCCACCCAATACCCTGGTATAACAGTCATCTCCGCTCCCTAAAAACCCAAACCTGGCTGCTCGAGCGCAGATGGCAGAAATCTGACCTGACAGTTCACCAACAACTGTGGCTTGAGTATCTCCACAGCTACCGCCGTTCCTTGATGAGTGCGAAAACATCCTTCTACTCCAACATCATCTTGGAGGCAAAAAACAATCCCAAAGTCCTTTTTTCCACCACCCACTACCTCCTCCGTGCGCCTCCTCAGGCCTCCTCAATCTTCACTTCTAATGCCAAGTGCGAAGAGGTCATGGACTTTGTTTCAACCAAAATAAACAATATCAGACAGGCAGCCACATCCACCTGCCTCTTGTCACCCACCACCACCCTCTCTCCGACCCCCTCACCCTCTCCATCATCAGCCCCATCCTACATTTCTTCCTCCCCATCTCTTCTTCCTCCCTATCTCCTTCCTCCCTCTCACCCACCATCACTTCAATGAAACCCTCCACCAGCTGCCTCGACTCCCTCACCACCAACTTGCTGGTCACCCAGCTCCCCCTCCTCTGCCCACTACTGGCTGATGTCATCAACCAGTCCCTCTCCTCTGGATCAGTCCCTGCCCCCCTCAAAACTGCTGTCATCACCCCCCTCCTCAAGAAACCTTTCCTCAAATCCCAGCCATTACTGCCCTATCTCTAACCTGCCCTTCCTCGCAAAAGTTCTAGAACGTCTTGTTGCCAATCAACTTCACGCTCACCTCTCCTCCCACTCCCTCTTCAAACCCCTCCAGTCCGGTTTCCGCCCACAGTACAGAGACTGCACTTGTGAAAGTCACAAACGACATCCTCTCTATCTGTGACCAGGGCTCCCTCTGCCTCCTTGTCCTCCTGGACAAAGTCGATCACGCCATCCTCCTCCACCGCCTTTCCTCCGTCATCCACCTCAGTGGGACCGCACTCGCCTGGTTCGAGTCCTACCTCATGAACCGCCAGCAGTACATCTGCACAAATAACTTTTCCTCCCGCTCTCACCCAGTTACCTGCGGTGTACCCCAAGGATCCATCCTTGGCCCCCTCCTCTTTCTGATCTATATGCTCCCTCTTGGGGATGTCATCCGCAGACATGGGGTACACTTCCACATGTATGCAGACTCTATTTTTCCACCTCTCTTTGCGACCCCCAGTCCCCTGATGTTCTGTCAGCCTGCCTGTCAGACCTCAGGGGCTGGATGAGTGCAAATTTCCTTCAGCTGACAGTTGATAAGACGAAAGCCATACTCTTTGGCTCTCGTCAACGTCTAAAATCTCACGGTTCTCACCTCCTCCACCTACCCGACCTCCCCCTAAAACTCTCCAAACCCATACACAATCTAGTCGTCAGGTTCGACCCCCAATTATCCTTCCTCCCCACATCCGGTCCCTCACCAGCACCGCTTTCTTCCACCACCGACGCATCGCCCGTCTCCACCAATATCTCACCCCAAAAGCCACCGAAACCCTGATCCATGCCTGTGTCACCTCTTGGCTGGACTATTCAAATGCCCTCCTCGCCGGTCTGCCCTCCACTACCATCCATAAAATCCAGGTCATCCAGAAATCTGTCGCCCGCATTCTCACCCGCACCAAACTCCGCTCCCCGATTACTCCAGTCCTTGCCAGGACTGCAATGGCTGCCTGTCCCAGAGAGGACCGACTTCAAGATCCTCATTTGTCTTCAAATCCCTCCACTCCTCTGCACCCCCCTACCTCTCTGACCTCCTCTCTCCTCACAACAGTGCCCGTTGCCTTCGTTCCTCCGGGTCTGGCCTCCGCCTCGTCCCCCGAATCCTCCGCTCCACCCTCGGCGGCCGTGCCTTCAGCCACTACTCCTCGAGACTCTGGAACTCCCTTCCTCACTCCCTTCGCCTCGCCCCCTTCTCTTCCCACTTTCAGGTCTCTGCCGAAGACCTTTCTTTTCGACCGCGCCCTTGGTCACCTTCCCCCCGCCCCTCCCTCCCTCCCCGCCCCCGGCTCGGTTACTGCGAAGCGCTCCGAGACGCCGTCCGGGTTGGAGGGCGCTACGTAAATCCAAGTTGTTGTTTTCCCAACGCACACTCCGGGGTCCCCAGGCCTTGGCTCTCGCCAACCTGCGCCCCAATGCTCCCTGGAATTGGGTGAACAGGATGTGTCCCTCCAGGGAGAGAGCGCACATTCCACTCCATTCCATTCCATTCCAACCCTCTGGGATTTCGCTGTGTGATGGTGAACGCGTAAAGCACTCTCAGCTTTGGTCGGGAGACTCTCGAACGTGGTTGATGAGCTTTCACCTGTGCCGGACACCCGCACAACATTACCTGCTGGAAGCGCGGTTGGCCGAGCTGGAACCGCGGACACGAACCGTCCATTCCTGCCGCCGCGTCAAAATGACGGCCGTCACCCCGGCGACTGCAAGTCGAGTCGGACGGAGCGGCCGCGCTCAGCCTGCCGGGAGCTGGAGTTTCTCCTCGTAAGAAGCGGACGGGGCCGGATTGGCGGCGCGTGCGCACTCCCATCACGCTCCGCGGACGCGCCGGGAGTCGCGCATGCGTAGTTCAAACTGTGCCCGAGCATTCTGGGATTTGTAGGCCTTTTTTTAAAAAAAAAAAGACTGGTGGGTGATCCACCACTGCGGTGGACAAGGTGGAGGGGACAGGAGAGGGGAATAGATAAAACAATGATTTAAAACTCCGGGAGAAGTCGATCCAATGCCTTTTCTATTGCAAAACTCATCATGAAGCCAACTTTACCCGACAAAGTACACAGCAACAAATGTTGTACAGCGCCTCATGAAGGGTAGCGTCCCAGAGCGCTTGACAGTAGTGGAGCAGGACGCCGAGCCGGGGGTAGGGGAGGTGACTGTAGGTATGGTCAAAGAGGAAGGTCTTCAGCCATGATTAGAGATGGAGAAGGAAAGGGCAAGGCGAAGGGATAGAGGAAGAGTGTTCCAGAGTTTCGGAACATAGTGGTTGAAAGCATAGCCACCAATGGTGGAACGGAGGGCACGAAGGACATGCAGGAGGCTGGAGCCAGCTGTGGGCTGAAGCTGATGCCTAGGTTGTGCACCGGTTCGGCGAGTCTGAGGGATAGGCCGGGAGGATTGAGGAGGTCAGAGCCACAGGACAGAAGACGTTGACGGGAACCAAGGAGTAAGGCATTTCTTGTTGGCATTTAGTTGGAAGAAGTTTGTGCCAACATCTGACACTGTCGTGCTCCGCCAATGTCAAGCACTCTCTGGGATGCTACCCTGCCTGAGGGGCGCTATATAAATGCAAATTATTGTTGTTGGATAAGGATGGTGTGGTCGATTGTGTCTAAAGCGACGGAGAGGTCTAGGATTATGAGGAGGCAGAGGGAGCTCTGGTCACTGAGTGAAGACGTCATTTGTGACCTTGACAAGTGCTGTCTCTGTGCTATGGGAAGGGCAGAAACCAGACTGCAGGGGCTCAAGCTGAGAGTGTGGGAGAGTTGTGAGCAAAGCTGGTTAGAAGCTTTGGCAAGGAAGGACAGGTTAGAAATGGGATGGTAATTTGTAAGGTGTTAAGGGTGGGTTTTTGAAGAGGAAAGTGATGACAACTTTTTTGGTGGAAGAGGAACAGAGCCTGAGGAGAACAACTGGTTGACTGTGACATAGTCACTACACAACACAGTATACCCTTCAAAACACTGTGAGATGTCCTTGCAACATGAAATGTACTGCATCACATGGAAGGATTATTATTATTAAAAATTACATGGAGCTGAATGGGCTCCAAGTGACATGATTGGCAACGGAGTGTAGGTACTGAGCCCATCCTCTGTTACAGTCTCTAGTACGGTTCCTGAGCCAGGCGGGTCCTCAGTACTCCAGGGAACTGCTGGTGACAGACCATCCAGCTTGACTACCACACCAAGTCCTGCCGACAAGCCAGGACTGGCTGTGCAGTCATCAGCACTGCCCTGGAATACTGTAGACCCGCCTGGCGCAGGAACTGTTTGAGAGACTGTCGCAAAGGGTGGACTTGAATATGAGCTGGACAGAAGTTGGCCATTTGACAAACGTAGATTTGAACCCTCACCAGGTGAGCGCTCTATTTGGGGAGAAGTGAAGTGGGGGAGGGGTGTCAGCCACACGGCTGACCAAACAAAAAGTTTTAAAGTTACAAGTGCTGATCAAATACCGACATTCTTAATGAGTTACATGCACGTTAACAGTTTGGGGAAAAAGTAGATCATTAGTCCATCAGCCCAGGCGCTGTGTGTGGGACCATGTGGGGCAGGCTGGCAGACACACAGCACTGCAGGCCCGAACTCAGTCTTCTTTAGCGTAACATTGCAGGAAGAGCTTTGAGGCTTTTCATGTCCTTAGGTTACAGAGTCACACAGAGTGACAGAATCTAGCCCATCCACCCAACTAATGCATGTCGGTGTTTATACCCCACACAAGCCCCCATCCCTCTTTGTCCCCTCCTTTATACCCTTCCGCTAATCCACTCTCCTATACTTATATTCCATACCTCTCTCCATACCAACCTATCTGCTCCCTTTGCTCAGCAGGCTCCAGCCTTCAGCCATTCTACTCCCATCCTATGGAACACCATCCCACAGGCCCTGACCACGGAGATCAATCTCTCCTCCCTCATCCACATCCCCACCCTCCGTCAGTCATCGCCCCCCTCGATCCGCTCGCCCCCCCCATTTTCCACCACCAACTGTCCCCTCCGCATCGAATTTCAAAATTTCTGCTCCCTCTCCAATAAAACACTTACCATCCAAGACCTCATTGTCAACGAAAACATCGACATTCTCACTGAAACCTGGATCACTCCAGGCGACACATTCCCCCTGACAGAGGCCACACCACCCGGCTAAACCTTTCATCATACCCAATGATCTAACTGCCATGGTGAAGGGGTGGCTCTCATCTCCTGGTGCCTGCTCGGCCTAGCCTCTTATTCCTCTGGAATCTTCCACTCCTTTGAGCACCTTACCCTTTATCACCCCTCCAAACTTTCCCTTCATCCCTGACATCTCCACCCTCCTATCTTCCCTCTCCCTCTGCTCCAATGCCTCCTCATCCTAGGAGACTTCAACTTTCACTTCACCCCTCCTGCTTTACCTCTGCTGACTTCTCCTCCCTTACCTCCTCCCTCAACCTCTCCCTCCACATCCACTCTGCCACCCACGTCCTCGGTGACTCCCTAGACCTGGTGATCAATTGGGGCCTCATGATCTCGGACCTCATCTCATCGACAAAGCAATCTCAGACCATTACTTCATCTCCCTTAACTTCTCAAACCCTCTACCCACCGCTACCCAATCCACCTCCATCTCCCCCCACCCCCTCCCTCTCGACTGCCTTGGAGTTATCTGAACGCCTTCCCCTCTGGGCTTCCTCCTGCAATTACCTATCCTCCTCAAGCGCTCTTCTCCACAGCTCCATCTTCTCCACTCTTGATTCCCTTGCTCCCCCCTCCTCCTGAACTGTCTCCTATTCATGTAAGCGGATGACACCCAACTATACCTCTCTGCCTCCTCCCTTGATTCCAGAACCACTGCTGTTCTGACAGAATGTCTGTTGGACATCAAATCCTGGACGAGAGCTAACTTTCCTCTGTTGAACTTCAACAAGACCAAAGACAAAGCCCAAACCCCACACCTCAGGCGCTGACAGCAACACCATCCATGGATGCACACTCCACCTTACTAAGCCAGTGCAAAATCTTGGCTTCTTGTTTGACCCTCAACTGTTCTTTCTATCCCACATCCGTGCCGTGACCTTCTCTGCCTTCCCCCACCTCCCCAACATCGCCCGGCTGCACCACTTATTCAAACTGCAGGTCGCTGAAACCCTCATACACGCATTCATTACATCGAAGCTTGACTATGCGAACTCCTTGCTTGTCGGCCTCCCCAACTCCTCCCTCCATAGGCTGCAGATCATCCAGAACTCTGCAGTCCGTGTCCTCTCCCGCACCTGGTTCCATGACCCCATCACTCCCACCTTCGCCTGACTCCACTGGCTCCCCGTTCCTCAGTTCAAGATCCTTGTAATCACTTTCAAGGCCATCCATGGCCTTGCCCCCTCCTACCTCTCTGACCTGCTGACTCCCTACCAACCTGCCCACTCCCTCCGTTCGGCGGGCTCCAGCCTGCTCCATGTCTCCCGGATGACCCTCCCCTGCCATCGTTGGCCGGGCTTTCAGCCTCTCTGCCCCCACACTCTGAAACTCCATCGCACAGTCCCTTGGCCTCGCTTCCTCCCTTGCCTCCTTCAAGGCCGGTCTCAAGATCCTTCTCTTTGTGCCTTTGGTCGCCCTCCCACCTCGCTGCCTTCCGTCTCCCCTACACCACTCCTCCCCCATGCTCGGATCCCGACACCTGACTGTTCAGCGCTTTGGGACGTCCTCCCAACTTGAAAGGCACTCTATAAATGCAATTTTGTTGTTGTTGTTGTCATCACGGACCTCCCCCACAAGGAGAATGACATCCACTTGAACAGCACAGATGGGATCTCGGTGTAACATCTCATCTGAAGGACAGCACCTCTGACAATGCAGTGCTCCCCATCCCCACTCCCCTCCCCCCCACAATACAGCCTGGACTGTGAGCTCAGAGGCCCCGAGCCTCTGAGGCTCAAACCTACAACCTTCTGACCCAGAGGTGAGAGCGTGAACGACTTAGCCGGACTGAGTCCCCCTGCGGGAGAATGGGCGGCACAGTGATAGCGAGGTAGCTATCCTCTCTGTGCTGTGCTCATTCCCTGGGACATGTGGTACCCAGACTGTGGCCAGAGTCAGGTTATCAGACCAATAGCTAAGCTCATTCATTGTCAATGCCATGACTGCCACCTAGTGTACACAGGTGACATTGCAGTCAGCAACCTCCCCAGCCGCCTTTTGGGAGCCATGACCTTTCCTATGAATCTGCCAGTGCTGAAATTCAATCTAGTCGCAGACATGCAATCATTTTAATTTAACAACCACAAGATTTTAAACGTTGAAGACATGCAGAATTTGGGAAAGTTCTTTAATTCAGACGAATTTAAGATGGGTTCTTTACAAATTTCGAGAAAATAGGCTTTCAAACAATAAGGCTGAGACTGGGGGAAATTTTGTATTTTTTGGGGTCAGCCGGCTGTATGACACATGCTCCACAAACGGTTTCTCCTCTAGCCCCCACACCGTTTTATGTGGCGTTCCTCAGGGCTCTCTGTCCTTGGTCCCCTCCTCTTCAATATCTACATGCTTCCTCTTGGTGACATCATCCACAGACATAGGGTCAACTTCCACATGTTTGTCGATAACACCCAACTCTATCTCTCTGCCTCCCCACCCTTGACTCCAGGACCACTGCTGTCCTGACAGAATGTCTGTCAGACATCAAGTCCTGGATGAGAGCTAACTTTCTTCAGTTGAACGTCAAAAAGACTGAGGCCCTCCCGATTGTCTCCCGTCAGCACCTCCACGACTCAGGCACTGACAGCATCACCATCCGTGGATGCACACTCCACCTTACTAAGCCAGTCCAGAACCTTGGCATCTTACTTGACCCTCAACCATCCTTTCTACCCCACATCCGTGCCATGACCAGCTCTGCTTTCCTCACCTCTGCAATATCGCCCGGATCCATAACTGTCTCACACCACAGACCGCCGAAACCCTCATTCACATGTTCATCACATCTAGGCTCAACTACGCCAATCCCGGCATTCGGCCTTCGCAACTCTTTCCTTCCCCAAGATGCAGATTATCCAGAAGTCTGCAGCTTGTGTCCTCTCCTCACCAGGCTCCATGTATCACCCCCACCCTCGCCCAGCTCCAAAATAGAATACGAGAAAATACTTGCAAGGGATATCAAAGGCAACAATAAAAGGTTTTATAAATATATTAAGAGAAAGAGTGGTAAAGGGGAATGTGGGCCTGTTAAAGACAGAATGTCTGTAGGTGAGACTATAATGGACAATAAGGAAATAGCAGACTTGTTGAATGACGAGGTGCTCATCTTCAAAGCCTTCCATGGCCTTGTTCCTTCCAACCCCTGTAACCTGCTAACCCCATATGAACCTGTCCGCTCTCTCCACTCAGCAGGCTCCGGCCTGCTCCACGTCCCTTGCCCAACCCAGCCCATCATTGGCGGGTGGGCCTTCAGCCTCTCTGCCTCCACCCTTTGGACCTCTAACCCAGTCCCTTTGTCTCGCTTCCCTTGCCTCCGTCAAGGTACATCTCAAGACCCTCCTTTTCGACTGTGCCTTTCGCCACCCTCCTACCTTCCACCCTCCCTGATCCCAACATCCCTCCGCTCGGATCCAAATCTCGCACTCTTCAGCGCCTTGGGACGTCCTCTCGATGTGAAAGGTGCTGTACAGATGTAATTTTGTATTGTATTATACTCCTATCTCCCTCATGTGAAGGTCAAGCTTCCTCCTGAATCCATCTACACTATCTGATTCAACCCCCACTTCAGGCAGCGAATTCCACAATCTTACTGCCCTCTATGTGTAGTAGTTCCTCCTAATTATCTTTTAGATCCCTCAGTCACTAATGTACACACACAGATCCAAGAGGGAGTTTTGAGGAACTGGGTGGTGAGTGTGGAACGCACTGCCAGAAGCTGTGGTTGAAACAAAAATATCTTCTAGACGTGAAAAAAAAGTGTGAATATGATGGAGCTGATTGTTGTAACAAAGCTGCACACAAACACACAGGCAGTGCACGGTCTGGTTTATTACATGTTTATTGTGAACATGGAGTATCGGGAGATGTTTCTCGGCATTCCTGAGGCGCCCCAGTGACACCACCGGAGAGCAATTTTGGAAAGTGGGGGGAGGAGAGCTTCACAGCACATCTCACTCCCCCCCACCCCACCCCATAAATAACAATAATATAAAGCATGAGTTAGCACCCAATAAATGTCTCAAAGCAATTTGCATGGAAATGCTTTTGAGTGAGGCAAGCGCGGCAGGCATTTTGTGCAGAGCAAGGCCCTCCCCCTGCAAACAGCCATGAAGCGAGCGAGCAACTTAACCAAGGGATTGTCGGCCAGGACACTGGGAGAGAGAAACTCCCTTCTCTATTCTGACATGTCGCAGGATCTATAAAATCCACCTGAGGAGGCACAGAGGGGGCCTCAGTTTAACATCTCATCTGAAGGATGTGTTCTTAAGACAATTTTTTGCCTCTTCTCATTCCTAACTTTTTTGGGGTCACCCAGGTGTCTGACACACACAAAAACCCATCACCGTGATCAGCCGGGTATCTGCCATCCACGGAAACCCATCACTGTGATCAGCCGGTGTCTGACACACGTGGAAACACAACTCTGTGTTTCCTGTCCCTGTGTTCCAGCCAATGAGGGAGATTCATCATTCCCAAACACAGGCCCACTTAGATTATAAAAGAACAAGTCGCTGGGAATCTCCTCCACACTTTTTCGTTGCAAATCCCTGCGTTTTATTAGTGTAAACAGAGACAGGCACCCGGGCTGACGGCTCATCTTTTGGCTGTCTTGGATTTGCCGGCGGGGACCTGTAGGATGGCAGGGGATGTCTCCATGATCTGGACCAGCAGATGGTCAATGTAATTCTCCAGGTCCCGCAACTGCTCCCGCCTACTCCGCAGCTCCGAATCCTGATCCAGGATCTTCCGGATCAGCTCATCGTGGGTCAGGTGGTAATAGAGCGCAGCGGAGTCCTCTGGCTCCGATTCCTGATGTGGGAGACCAGGAGAAATGTCAAAGAGAGATTCGGAATCTAACTCTCATAGCTCCCTCCACACAGCCTGCCTGCCTCTCTTGATACAAAATCAGACCTTGCTCTCACTGGCAAGCTATGGGGTTTTAGCTGGTTACCCCAACGCACACTCTGGGGTCCCCAAGCCTTGGCTTTTGCCAAACTGCACCTAATACTTTCCAGAATTAGGTAAGCAGGATGTGTTCCTCCAGGGAGAGAGTGAACATTACACTCCAATATATATCTCTGAAATCTCCATGTGTAGGTGGGATATAATTAATTTGTAATCTCACACAAAACATGTCCCTCTACGCTGTCTGTCCACACACCCAGGTCTGGGTTAGAGACAGAGTAAACCTCCCTCTACAATGTCTGTCCACACTCCCAGGTCAGTGACAGCACAGGTTAAACGCAGTACTTCAATTGTGGCCTAACCAATATGAACTGTGAGTTCAGAGTGCCCTGACGTGGGGCTTGATCCCAGACCCTCCTGAGGGGGATATTAACGCTAGGTGTACAGTGTAAGAGGTGAGGAGCTGGAAATGGTAATTAATAAAGGATCGGTGGGGGATGGGGGGGAAGGGTTTAGCCATCAGTATGACGAACACGAGCTCCCAATGACTGTCCCTACAGGAAATCACAGCACAACCAGACCGGAGCAAGACAGAAGTGAGAAACACAGAGCCTGGGGGGACCTTCACTCGTTCAATGGCTGAATGCGGTCCCCTGCATTATTCACAGAGTTCTGTCTTTCAGTCAGCCACTCGCCTGCAGCTCAGAGGGAGGTGTGATTGAGCCCCCACGTCGGGGACTCTGCGCTCACAGCTTATGACACATGTTGTTAGCGTCTCCAGGATGTGGGGGAATGGACACGTCAGCCAGTGTGTGGTCAGCGTGTGGTCGGTGTGGGGGTCAGCGTGGGGCATCAGTGGGTGTGTCTTTCCCCACATCTACAACATTGCCTGGTTCTGCCATTGTCTATCATCCCAGGCCGCCGAGACCCTCATCCCTGCATTCATCACATCCCGGCTCAACTATGCCAACTCCCTGCTTGTCGGCCCCCCCAATTCCTCACTCCACAGGCTGCAGATCATCCAGAACTCTGCAGCCCGTGTCCTCTCCCGGACCAACTCCACGACCTTATCACCCCCATCCTCGTCCAGCTCGACATCACACAGAGGCTATAGTTCAAGATCCTGATCCTCACCTTCAAAGCCCTCTACGCCTTGATTCTCCCATTCTCCCTAACACTTTGACCTCCTAAACCCCTATCAACATGTCCGGGGTGCAGCGTGGGGGGTGCAGTGTGGGGGCGGTGGCAGTGTGGTGGGAGGCAGTGTGGGGGAGGCAGTGTGGAGGGGCAGCGTGGGGGGAGGGGCAGCGTGGGGGGAGGGGCAGCGTGGGGGGAGGGGCAGCGTGGGGGGAGGGGCAGCGTGGGGGAGGGGCAGCGTGGGGGGCCAGTGCAGGGAGGGGGCAGTGGGTGGGGGGGGCAGTGGGTGGGGGGGCAGTGGGAGGACCATTGTGTGGGGTGGGGCCAGGGTGGGGCGGGGGCAGGGTGGGGCGGGGGCAGGGTGTGGGGCTGGGCCAGTGTGTGGGGTGGGGCCAGTGTGTGGGGCGGGGCCAGTGTGGGGTTCTGTGCGGTGGCTTACCTTCTCTCCCTCGGGGCCCTTAGGCAGGGGGTTGGCGGGGCGGACGGGGGCAATGCTGCTGCTGGTGGCCGTCCGCAGCCTCTCCAGGCCGCTGCTTAGCGTGCTCCCGATCCCTGGCCACAGCGGCCAGCGCACAGCACTGTCCGGCACAGCCGAGTCCAGAGGCTTCACCAGGTGAGGACTGCAGAGAGAGAGAGCCAGAGACTGCATTTGTACAGAATCCAGCACCTCACACTCATGCGCGGGCACACATACTCACACAGACTCACACAAATTTACAGAGACTCACAGAGGTACAACAACAATAAATTGCTTTGATATAGCGCCTTTCACATCGGGAGGACGTCCCAAGATGCTGGGACTCACATAGACTCGGAGAAACACTGCCTCACACATACAGATTAACACACACACACACACACACACAGATTACGATTACAGTAAATGACAGTGGGGTGTAGGCGGGCTCTCTTTGTAGTTAAGATGGCTCCAAGTTGAAGTACCTGGCAATGGAATGTCTGAATCGAGCCCACCCTCAGTGTCGGTCTCTAGTTGGGTTCCTGCCAGGTGGGTACGCAGTATTCCAGGGCACTGCTGATGACAGCCCAGCCTGGATCATCATAAGGATTTGGAAGAGTGGACCAGTCACTGGGGGCAGGGAATCCTCCCACTCAGCTCCTGTTATTCTTGCAAGCCCTAATGGGTAGAGTGGTTCTAGCTCAACAAGCAATGGGAAAGCTTGCCAGACAGTGCTCAAGATATGTGCTTTCAGCTGGTTAGACTCCAGCAGTTATCCCAATGCACATTCTGGTCCCCAAGCTTTGGCTCTTACCAGCTTGTGCCCAGGTGATAAGGGGGCTGCAGAGAAAACTTGGCTCAATTGCACCTCCACACCGGGCTGGTGACAGCCCAGTGTTATAATAGAGACAATGAAGGCAGAGTGAATGGGGTGGGGTCTGAGTTGGGTTGGGGAGGAGGGAGAAGTAGCTGAGGCTACATTGGAGTGAGACTGATTGCCGTCTCCTCGACTCTACATTCACTGGAGTCCACCTCCCTGTTACTCTCTCTTGGCCATCACTCACTCACGGTGGGAGAAAGGGTTTAGATGGTGGATTTAACGTCTCATGTTAAGGAAGGTGTCACTGAGGATGCAGAGCTCCCCCAACACTGGACCGGAGCGTTTGGGTTTTGTTTGTAATCTGTTCAGAGAGGTATCAGTGAAGCATTAAGCATTGACAATCCAGTCTCAATCCCTTCAGGCCGAGAGCCCAAGAGGCTTTGCCTGATGGAAACTGGTCGTGGTGTGGGCCGGGCTGTCCTGAGGGGCTCCCTGTGATTTCTCTCCACAACAGCCCTCGCCTCCAAAATGGACTTTGATTTTCACACATTTTCACAGGTGCAATTTAATTATTCCATGCTCCCTCTCGAACATACAGACACAAATGTCCCCCAGACATTCCCAGACAAGTAACACACTCGCACCCCTGGGCACTGTCAGCCATAGACGCACACAAGCTTGAAATTCCTCCTGGTCTCAGCCTGAAGGCCATTGTCTTATGATATAGAACTGCAGAAAATTCATAATTCTTTTGAAGAACTGAAAAGATGGCTTGTGAATTGAGCCACGATTGAAGAATTCTCCACAATTCTGCAGCGTTTAATAACAACCCTTACATTGGGTCCAGCGGCAAAATAGCTCAAAGACATTGTGGCTCTCTTTCCCCACAGTGCTGCACAGAAACACCAGCCTAGACTGTAATCTCAGAGTCCTGGTGTGGGGCTTAAACTTTCTGAACCAGAGGCAAGCGGCTGAGTCAATGTGTGGGGATCTTATTCTGTGTGTCGCTCGCTCTACCTCAAGGAGTGTGTGAGTATTTTGTTTGACCCTCACTTCTCCTTCAAACCTTGGACTGTGATCAAGTCCACTCTCCTCCATCTCCACAACATCACCGGCCTCTGCCACTACCTCACCCTCAACATAGCCCAACCCCTCAACCTAGCACAGCCCACACTCTCACCCCAACACCACAGCCCACATCCTCACCCCAACACACACAGCCCAGACTTTCACCCTAACACACACAGCCCAGACCCTCACCCCTACAGACACAGCCCAGACTCTCACCCCAACACCACAGCCCACAACCTCACCCCAACACACACAGCCCAGGCCCTCACCCCAACACACACAACCCAGGCCCTCACCCCAACACACACAGCCCAGGCCCTCACCCCAACACACACACCCCAGGCCCTCACCCCAACACACATAGCTCAGATCCTCACTCGTGCCTTTGTCACCAACTCTTCTCCGACCTCTGCAACTCGAACCTCCACTCCAGACTATTCAGAACTCTGCAGCCCAAGTCCTCCACAGCGCCCCCACCCCTACCTCTGCAACCTCCTGTGACCCAACTCAATTCCTCCATTCTGTCAACTCTGACCAGCCTCATCTTCCCCAGCTGAGCCACCCCACCATAGGTGGGCAAACATTTGGCCATTTTAGTCCCTCTCTCAGGAACTCTCTTCCAAACCCCTTTGCTTCACTCCTGTCAGTCAGACTGACTCAGTCTGTCTAAAGCACTTGTCTCCCAACATGAAAAACGCTGGATAAGTGCAGAGTTTAAGTCCAACCTGTGCTGTTACTGACCTGGGAGTGTGGAAGTACAGTGTAGAGGGAGCTTTACTCTGTCTCTAACCCGTGCTGTTACTGACCTAGGAGTGTGGAAGGATAGTGTAGAGGGAGCATTACTGTGCCTCTAACCCACCAGGAAGAGGAAACATTTTGGTGTTGCATAGGTCCTGGCGTTACATTGTAACTCCCCACCCCCCAACCACATGCTTAATGCTCACCTGGTTATCCGCTGTGGGGAGAGTCCGCTAGCCGGCTGTGTCTCCTGGGGCAAAACCGTGACGGCAGACATTTTCCAGCCAGTGGACAGCAGCGGTGATGAGAGGCAGACGGGCTCTGCCGAGGGGGCAGCAACACCCAGGGGGCAGAGGATGGGAGAAGGAAGGTTGGTTACTCTGGTGTTAGTGAGAGCCGCGGGGTGAGGGGTGGAGATGGTAAGAGGCCAGGGGCCCTGGGGAGGCTCTTGGCTCTGCATGGCGCATGGGGTGGCGCTGGGTTCCGGAACATTATGGAAGCTCATCCTTTGTTGGTGGATCTCTCTGTGGTCAACGGCAAAAGATGTCTCCTCCACGATGGTTGACTTTGCCGCCGGTGCATTGCAGGTTCCTTCCTGGCCATTTTTTGCTCTCGGGTCCTTACTGCAGTGGCTTGAAGGCTCAGGCTGGGGTCGGACAGCTGAGGGTTCCTTTTCCTGAGCTCCCTCCAGCATATCTTCAGCCTCCCCTCTCCCAGCCATGCCAGGTGGCACCTGCCCCCAGGCAGGCAGAGCCAAGATGTCACCCTCTTGCCCTGCTAGCCCTCTCCCTCGACAGTCTCTACTCATTGTCCTGGCCCTTGAGGTTCTGGAGAGTTCTTTGTGGCTCGCGGTCACCTGGTCACTCTGTTCTTCCACTCCAGTTATAAAAGGCAGCTCTGAGGCTGGGCTGGTGTACACAAGCGAGCTGGAGGGGCCTCTCACCGGCCCCCACAAACCCACACAGTTCACTCCCGGGCTGCATTCTCCTCTGATCAGCTGTGGCTCGTGGGCCGTGGAACCGAGGCCAGGAGAGAGGGATTGATGGGAGCCGTGCAGAGAGTCTGGATTCCAATCCTGGATCCACAGGTCCGATCCCTTCCCTGAGGGGATCAAAGTGCAGGTCTTATAGTGCTTGTTACAGCCCAACTCCGCGAGGCCACCTCTGGATGGATCAACATCAATCCCAGGATTCTGCTCGTCCACAGTAATTACCTGGAGTCTGGGGGAAGCCCATTTATCGGATAACCTGTCACCCTCATCACTACGGCTACTGGCTGCTACTGCCGCACCCCCCGAGCTGGCATTTCCTCCTATCGGGGCAACCACAAGCAGCCGGGGGTGTATAGGAGGCGGAGGAGTGGACATCAACTCCACTGCTTCCTGCTCCACAGGAGCCACTTCCTGCTCCACAGGAGCCACTTCCTGTTCCTGTGCACCCACTTCCTGCCCTACCGCACCCACTTCCTCCTCCTCCGCACCCACTTCCTGCTCCACCCCACCCACTTCCTGCTCCGCTGCACCCACTTCCTGCTCCGCCCCACCCACTTCCTGCTCCGCCCCACCCACTTCCTGCTCCACCGCACCCACTTCCTGTTTCACAGTGAGCCAATCAGAATCCATGTCCCTGGTTTCTTCCATCATCTCTGAGGTGACACAAGTCCCCTCAGGGCTAGTTTCTCCCCCTGTAAAACCCCCTTTGCCTGCAGATGGCAGCCCCGCACCTGTACCCAGGGCGACTTGAGAAGTGGATGAAGAGACGAGGTTAGGGAAAACAAGCGCCATGTTGACACTGTCATTTTCAGTCTGCACCGCGCCATTCTCATTAACAATGATGGCTTCTGGTCTGGACGCTGGTGAGCTTTCAATTGGCTGCCGACCATTTCTCTCTTCTCCGACTGGTGCAAGGTCAATGGCATTTGCGTCATGGCGGCTTTCCCATAGAACTGATTGTCTCCTTTCAACTTCCTGTTCTATTGGAAACACTTCCTGTTCCTGTGGAATCTCTTCCTGTTCCTGTCGCGTAAGATTGATTTTCTGTTCCTCTGGAATCACTTTGTGTTCCTGTTGAATCACTTCCGCTTCCTGTCGCGCTGCTGAAGTGGCATTTTTGACCCAGGATTCAGCATTTAATCCCCCCTCTGAGGCAGAACCATGGTCTGCTTCGGTGAAAAATACTTCCTGGATCACTAGCGGTGACCCTTGAGCTTCCGTCCAGCTCTCTGTTCGGGTGTATCCTGGAGCCAAAGGATCGAGGCCCTCGGGAATGATGGAGCTTCGGGAGGGAAGAGATTCACCCCGGACTCGAGAGCCAAAGGAGAAACTGGAGAAAGAGCGAGCGGACGGAGGAGACTTTATTAGGTGACTAGCTAGGAGGTCCTCATAGAAGGGGTTAGTGTGTAAAGAGCTGAGGAAAGGGTTTGTCAGAGGCCTAGGAGAGGGCGAGATGCCATCCTGAGAGGCTGTGAAGGGGTTAATGTTAAACCTGCCACCTGGTGAGGTAGAAGGGGGAGTGGGGGGCAGTGGAGAGTGAGGGGTGAGGGGATCCGGTGGAGAGTGAGGGGAGGGTGAGGGGGCGTCTGAACTGGTTTCTACCGTAGGAGACACTTCCAGGCTGTGGAGGGACAGACAGAACAGTCGTCCTCGTTAGTCATGGCCCCAGCCAAATGCCACACAAGAAAACATGTTCCCATCCGGCCACACCCGTCCACCCACCTTACAGGGCCAGAGGGAAGCCTCAATTAGACACACAACGCATGTCATTGTGTGTCACTATGTGTGTGGCCGCAGGTCAGTGGGTTATGGCGTGGGTTAGTGATGGCTCCTCTGTGTTAACCCTTCCCCACCACAATCCATGCACGGTATTCAGCACGTTCACAATCTGCACTTATCCAGCAGCTTTCACACAAGGGATGAACATCTCAAAGCGCTTCACAGCGATGACGGGTGATCGTAGATGGAGGCAATTCAGCCCATCGAGTCTGCTCCGCCAGATCAGGGCAGAGCTTTCAATCCCAATTCCCGTACCTTTTCCCCACATTCCTCAACTCCCTAAGTATCTCCCCATCTCCCCATTAAACCTCCTGATCCATTCTGTCTTCATGGCTCCTGGGGTGAGTGTTGCCCACTCTCAGCCCCTCTGTGTGAAGAGATGTTTCCTAACCTCCTTGTCACTGGTCTGGCTCTAAGTTCCACACTCCGGCCCCTTGTTAGTGATTCTCCACCAGAGGGAAGAGTCTCCACTCGCTAAGCTGTCAGTTCCCCTCATTGTTTTACACTCGATCACATCACCCCTCAACCAGTTCAGCTGTAAAGCACTGAGAGACACTGGTGGCAGCCTGGCTCGGTCGGCAGCACTCTCTACTCTGAGTCAAAGGTTGTGGGTTCACTCCACTAGGAGCTCGCATTCGAGGCTGATACTCCAATTGCGGGGAGCGCTGCATTGTCAGTGCCAAGAGGGAGAAGTCATTTCCACATAGCTCTGGACAAGCTCTGGAGGGGGTTCAGTGCACCCATTGGTCCTGTACCTTTGAACACCTGGTAGGAGACGCGCCCCCTCGTGAAAGGGGAAAGGCCAGGGAAACGCAACTCAGCATCTGAACCAATAACACTACATGAACTTCCATCTCATCAGAGAGGGCATAATTCACCTCAGCCAGAGATCAGGGCGGAGATACAGAACCCTCCCCACAACCCTTCACCCCCAACCACCAACCTGAGCGTTTTGCCGGTGTCCTTCTGGAACCATCCGCCGACCTTGGTCTTCTCGGTCTGGATGGGGTCGGACTTCCTAGTGACGGAGGGTGAAAGCCGTGGGAGGGCGGGGCTGACGTTGCCTCTCTGCCTCTGACCAGCCTCGGAGGTGGCGGTGACCAAGGGGATGGCAGCATGGACAGGCCGGGCCCCCCTCCCCGAACCCCCGCCCGACCCTTCTGCCAAACCCCCTGCGTCCACGGTGATGACCGGCAGGACCGGCCTGCTCTCCGTGCCTGTCCAGCGTGGGTATGCCAGCTTCTCTGGGGGGGGCGAGGCTGGCTTCAACGTGGGCTCCGGGGGCTTCTTGGTGATGTTCTGGAGGGAGCGGGAGAGAATGGAAGTGTTGGGAAAGAGGCCCGAGGCCAGGGCTGGCAGGGGTTCCTCACTGTACACATGGCTCCCGTTGACACAGAGCGAGGACCTTGACAGGAGGCTGGTCCTGGGGGCCAGGCTCTGGTGCTCCAGTGCAGGGTCACTCCGGCTTAGCTCGTCGCTGAGGGCTCGCTTGTGAGTCAGTGTCTTCGGCGCGGACTGGCCTTGACCTGCCGGAATAAACAAACTCAATAACAATAATCCTCATATCTGACACAGTGCGTTTCATGTCATGAGGACATCTCAAAGTGCTTTACAGGGCTTTACTGTTTGGATCAGCCTGGCTCAGTGGTAGTACTCCATGTCGGGATTTGGAATCATATAGTATAGTCAATACAACAACGACTTGCATTTGTATAACACCTTCACACGGGGTAGCGTCCCGGAGCGCTTAAGTGCTGGGGTGTGGTGGTGGGGGTTGCATTGTCGGAGGTGCGGTCCTTTGGATAAGACGTTATACCGAGGACCCATCTACCTGTTCAAGTGGACCATTCTCTCTCCTGGAGTCCTAGCCCATAAACCCCCAAATAAAACTAGTCACTCACTGCATGACTGTTTGTGTGACACTGCCGTGTGCTGCCGCTGTTCACCCATAAAATACAGTCAATCCACTTCACTGTATATTCTGTGAAGCGCTTTAAGATGTCTAAATGACGTAATATTGTACATGTTCCCTCTTGGTGACATCATCCGCAGTCATGGGCTCAACTTCCACATATATGCGGATGACACCCAGCTATATCTCTCTGCCTCCACCCTTGACTCCAGGACCACTGCTGTCCTGACAGAATGTCTGTCAGACATCAACAACAACAACAACAAGATTCCATTTATAAAGCGCCTTTCACGTCAGGAGGATGTCCTGAATGAGAACCAACTTTCTACAGTTGAACATCAACAAGACCAAGGCCCACTGATTGGCTCCCATCAGCACCTCCACACCTTAGGCACTGGCAGCATCACCATCCATCTTACTAAGCCAGTCCAGAACCTTGGCGTCTTATTTGACGCTCAATTGTCTTTCTACCCCAAATCCATGCCATGACCTGTTCTGCCTTCCCCCACCTCCGCAACATCGCCCGGCTCCGACACTGCCTCTCCCCTCAAGCCTTTGAGACCCTCATCCCCACATTCATTAAAATTAGGCTTGAATTCGCCAACTCCCTGCTTGTCAGCTTTCCCAACTCTTACCAGGCTGTTCCACGTCCCCTGCCCCGCCCGCTCCACCATCAGCAGGTGGGCCTTCAGGCTCTCCGCTCCCACCCTTTGGAACTTTGTCCAACATTCCCTTTGCCTAGCTCCCTTGCCTCCTTCAAGGCACGTCTCAAGACTCTCCTCTTCGACCGCGCCTTTGACCACCTTCCTAGCCTCCCTGCCCTCCACCCCTTCCTGATCCCAACTCCTCTCCCCCTCACAGCTCGGTTCCAAATTCCTGACTACACCTTGGGACATCCTCCCGGTGTGAAAGGCGCTATACAAATATAATTTTGCAATTGTATTGTATATCAAATGCAAGGATTATCATTTATTATTCTTAGAGCTGGGGTTTGGGTAGGGGTGGTGGGCTGTGAATCTCTCCCCGACGGGGGCCAAGTGGAGGTGGAGCAGGCTGCTGGGTGGAGGTGGAGCAGGCTGCTGGGTGGAGGTGGAGCAGGCTGCTGGGTGGAGGTGGAGCAGGCTGCTGGGTGATGCTGGGCTGGTGGCCAGCTGTGTTGGTGTTTTTCAAGTGCTCCGGGATCTACCCTGCGTGAGGGGCACTATATTAATATAAGTTGTTCTTTAGTCCCATGATTATTTTGACCAGAAACCTCTGAACGGAAATATGTTCTATATCCAACATTCCATCCTCACGATTAATTGACCTGCGAGGCTGCCAAGGGCATTAGTCGAGATAAATCCAGGAAACACTCCAATTACTGGATGGCAAAGATGTAAAGATTTCAACAACCATTTTAGCTGTTACCAACTGATCTTTAACCCTCACCGAAGGCTGCCCACTGAGCCAGGCTGACTCATTAACCCTAAACAAAGCCAGTCTGACCTTTGCTCTGAGTAGTCTGACTCTTTCCACTTTGCACTGAACAAGCCTCATCCTTTGACACTAGAAACACGAGGAAGAAGGATACAGGAAGGGTAGGCAGGGGTTTGGGCTGTGAATTCCGGCATGGAGTTAACCTGATGGTACAAGCTGTACTGTACCAACACCCCCACAACACAGTGCAACTTATACCATCTGGTTAGGCCGAATGGCCTGTCTCCAAGCTGTGACCTTCTCTGTTATTCTCTGTCTAAAATAAGCCAATCTGACCTCTTGATCCTCACCTGACTCTTATCCCTTTGCTTTGAATTAGTCTTTGACCTAGAACAGTAGATTGGTGAAGATCTCTCAGGAACTGACAGATGACTGGACTGAGCGAGAGAGCGAGAAGATGGCTGGACTGAGGGAGCAGATGGCTGGACTGAGGGAGAGAGCTTACGGCTGGAAGCAGACGGCTGGATTGAAGGAGAGAGTAAATGGCTGGACTGAGGGAGAGAGTAGACGGCTGGACTGAGGAAGCGAGCCCTCAACCCTTCCATCTAGTGTTCGCCTAAATTATGAGCTGAAAAGACCCCAATGTTCAATAAACTTGATCCTACAAGTTCTGCGCTCACAGTCCAGACTGACGCTCCAACACAGTTCAGGGGAAGAGGAGCGCTGCATTGCCAGCGGTGCCATACTTCAGATGAGACGTTAACCTGAGCTCCTGACACGCACACACTCACCTGGATTCCTGGCTGGGGAGTGCTGGATGCTGAGGACAGCCATGGCTTTAGTGGGGGCTGTGTCTTTGGGGCTGGTTGGACTTGTGTCTCTAGGAGAGCCTGGGCTCCCTGGGCCTGGGCTCTCCAGGGAACGAGCGCTCTGCTCTGAGTTGAGCGAGCTGTTGGACATGGTGAGTGAGCTCTTGCGGACTTTGCTCTTGAAGAAGAAGCCCCTGGACTTGGACTTGGTGCTCGGGAGGTCCCGGCTGCTCTCCTCCTCGCTGGCGCCGGGCACTGCAGCACTGGCCGGCACAATGGCGGAGGCCGTGTCGGAGGTCAGGCTGTCGCGTTTCTTCTTGCCCCTCATTTTGTCCTTAATCTTGCCCAGGGCTGAGCGAGGCTTCTCTTTGCTGGACAAGTCCAGCAGGCTGGCCGTCAGATGGTTGCGAACAAACTGCATGCTGACCTCAATCTCTCCACGCTCCTTCTCTTTCTCCCCAGGCTTTGAGTGCAACTTGTACCATCTGATGGGACAAAGCAGGAGGATCAGAGGAGACCAACACCCCCCCAATGCACAACCCCCCAACACACAACCCCCCCAACACACAAACCCCCCAACACACAATCCCCAATACCCCCCAACACACACACGCACAGTGCACACCCAACACCACAACACATACACCCCACTCAACACACACACACCCAACACATACACATACACACCCAGAGCCAACACACACATACCCCCACCCCAACACCACCCCCCCCACCACACACACAACACATACCCACAACACACATACACCCTAACACACAAACATGCGCACGTGGGCAAAACAGACACACCCAACACATGAACCAACAACCCCACAACACACACACACAATACCCTCTCCCCACGCATACAAATAAAATGCACAGTATTTTGCCTTAAAACGCTTCAAGATATTTCAACCTTGCATTATCATCAAGTAATAATCCTTGCATCTGATACAGCACCTTTCATGCTGGGAGGACATCTCCAAGTGCTTCACAGGATTCACTGTAAAGTGCAGTGATTGTATTTTGTAGGTGAATACGGCAGACAATTTTCACACAGCAACATTCCACAAACAGCTGCATGGCTGAGCATGTTTGAATGATTTTATCTGGGGGATTGTTGGCCAGGACATGGGGGCGAGAGAAACTCCCTTCTCTTCTCAAGTAGCGCTGCGGTATGTTTAACATCAACCTGAACAGGCACAGATGGGTCCTTGGTCCCAGGAATTTTAGTTGAGTAAACACCAGTTACTCCAAAACTCTCTCTCACCAACCTGTACCTAATAATCTCTGGAAATAAAGAAATCTCCATGTGTAGATAGCATATATATGTGGAACTCTCAGTCTGGTTTAATGTAGTTAGAAAAATTTCCTCTGGTGGGGGAATCCAGAAGTGGTCTGCTCCTGTTCCTATATATATGTTTGGAGACTGTTAAGTACTGTGATGGGTTTCTGTCTATGTCAAACACCCGGCGGATCATAGAAATGGGTTTCTGTGTGTGTCAGATACCCGGCTGATCACAGTGATGGGTTTCCGTGTGTGTCGGATGATCATGGTGATGGGTTTCTGCTTAGATCTGATACCTGGTTGAACAAAACCATTTAAAAAAATATTTCTGTTTTGCTTTCCCGAGTGAGGCCGGATACAGGAAACCTGGAATGTTATCTCTGGAATGGCTGCCAAAGCCTCTCCATGGAGAGTGGGTAAGATCTGCGGTGGGGGAGGGAGAAGTCTCACTCATCTTAGCACTCCCCTAACCTGGCTTCACAGCCTAATAATTGCAGCCCACAACCTGTGACTTTATACTACTTTTCATCCTGTTAAACAGCCAGACCATTCACACTGACAAGTGTAACTATTTGTAGGTAAAACGTCACAGCCATTTTGCACATCACTCGCTTCCCCACTGGAGCTCTCTAATCCCATTCCCTGCTCTCTCCCCATCGGGTCTGTGCTGGTGCTCACTCTCCCACTAGCGCTCTCTAATCCCATTACCTGCTCAAAATTGGCAGCTGCATTCGCCCAGAAAATACACACTACACTTTAGAGAAAGGCCCTGGTGAAGCACTTTGAGACATTCCCCTGACATGAAAGGCCTGAGATCATTGCACAGATAGTTATTTATTTGAAACGTGCACTAAAACAGGGCTTCATTGGGTAAAACAGTAAACTTTCTTTCAGTGCTAAGACACACTAAAGTTTGTTGCCTAACAAGGTCAGAAAGAGAGCAGTCATAGCAGCCTCCTCCTCCCCCCATCACTTACGCAGGCTTATCTGGAAGATGCAGAGGAAGCCACACATCACCCGTCAATGAGCTGGGCTGTGAGATAACTTCCCCTTAGCTCCATTCGCTTCTGATAGCCAATGTAACACAGTCACTACACTGCAGGGCAGTATTCACAAGCTGCATCGTATTTCTTCACTATAGTGTCAGGAACTTTCTTTCACTATTGGTTTCATCAGCCTTGCATTTAACACTCACAGAAAACCATCATGGTGTCTGGCAAGAGAGAAACCAGACTGAGTGCCACATATATATGTCACTTATGGAAATTTTCCTGTCTCTGGAATGAAATGTGCACTCTCTCCCATTTCCCGAGAGTATTACAACAACAACAACACGATTCCATTTATAGAGCGCCTTTCACGTCGGGAGGACGTCCCAAGGCGCTGTACAGTTGGGTCAGGACCCGAGCAGGGGGGAAATGGTCAGGGTGAGGGGAGGGAAGGGAGGGAGCGAGGAGGGGGTAGAGAGTCGAGAGGGGAGCTGAAGGCTCGGTCAAAGAGAAAGGTCTTGAGACCGGCCTTGAAAGAGGAAAGGGAGGAGGCGGCGAAGGCACTTGGGGATAGAGTTCCAGAGCCTCGGGGCTGAGAGGCTGAAGGCCCGGCCACCAAAGGTAAGGCGGTTGGGGCGGGGGATGTGGAGCAGACCGGAGCCAGAGGAACGGAGGGTACAGGCAGGTAGGCACAGGTTGGCAAGAGCTGAGGTTTGGGGACCCCAGAGTGTGCGTTGGGGTAACTGCTGAAGTTTCACCAGTTAGAACTACATAGCTCGTCATGAGAACACTATCTGGCAAGCTTTCCCGCTGCTTGTCCAGCTAGGACCACCTTATCCGTTAAGGCTTTGGGTTGCAGGATTAGCAGGAGCTGAGTAGGAAGAATCTTACACATCACCGTTCAGGCAATTAATGTCTCAATCTTCTGACTTAGTGGTGAGAGTGCAAGAGTGTGAGCTGACATAGATCGAGCTGGGCTGACAGCAGCTCCCTCTCTCCCATTCCTTACACACTTTAAAAGCACTTTAAAAGCAGATGCTGCCCACACAAAGGCGTGATATAAACGCAAGTTGTTGTTTAAAACTTTCTTTCCTTCGAGACCTGTTCCAGCCCAAACCAAGCCTCAGAACATACTAATATGTGGCCACACCAGATCTCAGGAGGCAGGGCCTGCACACCACTGGAATGTGGAAAGAGAGTGAGAGAGACACATACACATAGTCAGATATACAGAGAGACATACACACACAGTCAGAGATAGAGAGAGAGAGAGAGAGAGAGAGACACGCACACACACACACACACACACACAGTCAGAGATACCGAGAGAGAGACACACACACAGAGTCAGAGATACAGAGAGAGACACACACACACAGATACACAGAGATACAGAGAGATACACACAGACACAGAGAGACACACACATACAGAGTCAGAGATACAGACAGAGACACTCACAAAGAGAGAAAGACATACACATACAGACAGAGAAACAGAGAGGGAGAGAAGCAGAGAGAGAGAGACACACACACAGAATCAGAGAGAGAGACATTCACAAAGACTGAGAGAGACATACAGAGACATACACAGATATGTAGAGACTCGGAGAGAGAGATACACACGCACACACACAGCCTCAATCACTCCCATAAGAGTCAGTCACTGTGTCAAGCAGAGGCTGACACTATCTCTGCCAGCTGGGGTGCCGCTCTCCATCACTCCCTCCCCCTCGGGGCCCGACCTGACCCTGAAAAAACTGAAGAGTTGCCACATTCCTGATTCCAAGTTAAATTCCAGGCCCCTGGAACAAAACAATATTCACTGCAAACCACCATCACCTCCCTCTGTGCCCACACCCCAGCCAGTCTCACAGCCACATATAACCGGGGGCAAGGGGGGGGGGTGGGTTTATTCCATGGCAGCCGGACTCAACCCCCTTCCCCCCCCCACCCCATACTCTTGCTCCAAGTCACCAGGTTGTGGGTGCAAGTCCCATGTTGGAATTCACAGTCCAATCCGCAATGCACTTTCGGATAAGACAGTTAACCAAGTTCCCATCTTTGCCTTGTTTAGATGGTCGTTAAAGATCCTGCAGCACTTTTGGAAAAGAGAAAGGAGTTTCTCTCTCCCAGTGTCCTGGCCAACAATCCCCCAGATAAATCATTCATTTACGTCATGGCTATTTATGGGATGTTGCTGCACACAAATTGATTGTTGCATTCACCCACAAAGCACACAGTCACCACACTTTGCAGCAATATCTTGTGAGGTCTTTTGAGATGTTTGTAAACACTGAGTCACATCCAAGTTCTCCCTCTCCCCCCGAGGTCAAGCAGATTAACTGTCACGCTCCTCTGGTTGGCATTTACAGAGGAGAATGTAACAGCCACGTGTGTATCCAATAACTCCACTGTTACGGAATGTTCCAGAAAGCACGACTGCATTACACTTGTTTACAGCACAAAAAGAGGCCATTCAGACCCTGATCGTGTCTGTGCTGGTGATCACTCCCCCACTGGAGCTCTCTACTCTAATCCCATTCCCTGCTCTCTCCCCATCATGTCTGTGCTGGTGCTCACTCCCCCACTGGAGCTCTCTACTCTAATCCCATTCCCTGCTCTCTCCCCATCATGTCTGTGCTGGTGCTCACTCCCCCACTGGAGCTCTCTACTCTAATCCCATTCCCTGCTCTCTCCCCATCATGTCTGTGCTGGTGCTCACTCCCCCACTGGAGCTCTCTACTCTAATCCCATTCCCTGCTCTCTCCCCATCATGTCTGTGCTGGTGCTCACTCCCCCACTGGAGCTCTCTACTCTAATCCCATTCCCTGCTCTCTCCCCATCATGTCTGTGCTGGTGCTCGCTCCCCCACTAGAGCTCTCTACTCTAATCCCATTCTCTACTCTTTCTATTTAATATTATTTATCATCCAGTATTTATCTAATTTGTTTTTAAACTGTGTTACAGACTCAGCTTCACACACACTCTAATTCGAGACATTTCACATGAATAACCCTCTGTGGAAAGTTATTTCTAACCTCTCCCTTCTCCTCTGATGATCTCCTGTGGTCATGGATTTGCTGATTAGTGAATAAAGTTTCACTTTGTTAACCCTTTCATCACCAGGCACAACCTGGAAAACCATCTCACCAACACAGTATCTCAGCAGCACTCACATCCCAGCCTGTACTTTCATCACTTCAAAACATTACACAATGCTTCCAAGTAATTACTCTCAATTGTAGTGACTACATTTCAAGGCAAATTTGGAAGCTGTTCACCATCATGAATGGACCTTTTTTTCTGGGGGATTGTCAGCCAGGACACCGGGACAGAAAAATTCCCTTCTCTTTCCCCGACAGTGGGATCTTTAACATCCACCTGAACAGACAGAAACTCGGTTAAACATCTCGCCCAAAGGGCGACGCCTCTAACAATGTTGCGCTCTCTCCCCAGCACTGTACTGGAGTGTCAGCCTGAATAGTGATCTCAGAACCCCTGGATGTAGGAAATCAGGAACAGGTGAAAGCTATTCAGCCCATCAAGTCTGTTCTACCAGTTTATTAAATCACAACAGATCTTTTAATCCCTGGGCCCTGCCCTTTCTATATCTCTATGACCCAGGTATGGATATGGGGTGGGATGGGGAGCCCTCTCCAATAAAGTCCTCATTGAACACGATCTCATTGTCAACAAAAACATTGACATCCTCTCCCTCACTGAAACCTGGATCGCACTAGGTAACACCTTGAAGCCACGCCAGCCATTTCACTATATCCCAACGTCCAACCTTCATGGTGGTGAGGTGTCCCTCAACTCCAGTTCTTCATTGGGTCTTTCCCCTTACTCCTCTGGATCCTTCCCTTTCTTCTCAGTACCTTGGGACGTACTCCCAAAATGAAAGGAGCTATATAAATGTAATTTGTTGTTGTTGGGGAGTGCTTGAACCCATAATATTCCCCTTTCAAGCTATTTCCCCCTCCCCGCAAGAAGCCTGCTACCCCTCCCACAGCCACTCCCCCTAACCCTGTGGGATGTCGCTTACCCAGTGTGTCAGGCTTCAGCAAGTGCTGAGAGGAGGGTGGGGTGGTCACAGGGCTGAGGAGGGGATGTGATAAGCCAGGTCAGGGAGATCATCCTGGGAGCTTGGCGACATGGTGGAGGGTGCAATGGGGTGGGAGGCAGAGGCCCGGATGAGGTGGGTGCACCTGCCCAAGAGAGCAGCCAAGTGGCTGGTGGGTGGAACTCGCTCAGAGGAAGGTGTGGGTTTGGCTGATCTCGGGGCCCAGACACAGTGCTCTCGGGCTGGGCTCATTGTTGACCTTCTCCTGGTCTGCTGTCAATCACTGTCCGCCATTGTTCCACAGGCCCCGCCTCATAACTAGACCCGCCCACCTCCCACTACTGAAAATCACCCCTCCCCAATCGCCGCCTCACCCCTCCACCCCACCCACCTCAAGACAATTCCCCGTCCAACACACACACCAGAGATTCAGATGAAGAAGACCCTTTGGCCCATTTGATCTCATCCCTCCACATTTCCTACCTGCCCATTCTCCCATCACAGCGACAACCAACCTTCCTGAGGACCCCGATCTCAACCGTCAATTCCCTCTCTGTGTAAAGGAATACTTCCTGGTCTCTGTTCTGACGTTGCCTCTCACACCCTTGACCCTGTAAAACCACAGAGATTCACAACATGTTCGTTGTTGCGGGTGGAGGGGGAGGGGACCGGGGTGTGCGGTTGGCCAGGACAAGGAGCTCAGAACATTCCCGGGGTGGCGTGGGGTGGGGGGTGGCTGGCTCCAGATTTTCACTTATAGAAGCTGCTCAGGGTTTGCGATAGGCACGCTCACACTGTCCTGGTGTTCGCTCCCCAAGAATCCATCCATCCTAACTCCAATTTCCCCTGCTCTCCCTCTTTACTCAAATCTCCTTCCTCTGTTTTCTAAATGTCGCTCTCCCCCCCCTCCCACCCACCAACAGTGCTACACGAACAGCCGCCCTGACAAGTTACTCCACCCCCTGACAACCTTCTGGTAGAAGTTCCTCTGAACTTCTCTCAATCCCCGGGTCACAGTGTGGAATTCAAGCTCTCTTGTCCTCCAATACTCAATCCAGCAGAAAGAGAACTTTTCACCATGAATTGTCTCAAGCCCTTTCACTATCACAACAAATTGATCCCACCACTCTCAACTTACTCTGTTCCAACGGGAAGACTTTGAACCTCTCCAGCCTCTCCTCATAGTTAGAACTTTACATCTCCGGCGTCAACAACAACAAATTATTACATTTGTATAGCTCATTTCACGTCCCTATGTTGGACAGCCAGGAAATTTGGACCTGAGCAGGGTTCTGGGATCAGGAGGGATGGAGGTCAGCGAGGGTGAGGATAAGGAAGGTAACTGAAGGCACAGTCAAAGAGGTAGATCTTGAGACGTGCCTTGAAGGAGGTAAGGAAGGGAGTTAGCCAAAGGGATTGTGGGATGGAGTTACAATGGTGGGGGCAGAAAGGCTGAAGGCCCGCTGCCGATGGTGGGATGGGCAGGGCAGGGGATGTGGGGCAAGCCGGAGCCCGCTGGTCAGAGGAAGCAGACAGGTCGGTATTGAGCCTTGTGAGCCTACGCTGCCCGTTCTCATCTCTCTATAATGTGGCCCAAAACTATCCGCAATACTCCAGCTGTGGCCTAATCCACATCTGTACAGATTCATCACTTCCTCATTCTTGTGTGTAATGGCTCTGTGTATAAATCCCAGATCCCTGTTTATCCGTTTCATGGTCTCTCTACCATAATCTCACTTTTAATAAACTAGAATAATAAGACTAATCCTTACTTTTATCAAAACATCTCCTGGCCAACATCCCCCAAATAAAATTGGTCACTCACCTCATGGCTGTTTGTGGGATGTCGTGTTCCGCTCACAAAATACATAGTTTACAGTATATCCTGTGAAGTGCTTTTGAGACGTTGCAATGACGTGGAAAGCGCTGTATTAAATGCAAGGATCATTATTAACTCAAACTCTTCACAGCATTTAGTTTAAAATGATTGTGTATTATGTGGGTGAATGTGGAGGGACTCAAGAGTGAGGACAAGGATCTTGAACTCTATCCTCTAGTGGATAGGGAGCCAGTGGAGCCGGGCGAGGATGGAGGTGATTGGCTCATGAGGCCTGGTGTGAGAGAGGACATGAGACGGGGGTTTACATAAGAAACGGAGCCACAAAAATAACAACAGGCAGAGGAAAGTGAGATAAGAGCAATGCAGAGCTGGCGGGTTATTCACATGTCAGCATCACACTGGAGCTCATTCAAAGTGAAAGGGGACGGGCAACATCCATCTCACGACTGGTAAACCACACCCTGGGACTGGGCAAGCGCCCATTTACATAGACTGGCTCAGCCGCTCGCACTCACTCCTCGGATTCTGGAGGTTGCGGCCCACATTGGGGACTCTGAGCTCACAGTTGAGGCTGACACCCATGTGCAGTGCTGGGAGGAGTGAGCACCATTGTTGTTGATAACCTGAGGCTGGAGGAGGAGACTGAGGGCTGGAGGCAATGTGGGGTGGGGGGGTTTTAAGGGAGTGAACGAGGATCTTGAAGGCGATACCGGGTAGGCAGCCTGATAGGTGGGGACGTGGTGAGGGGGAGGATGTGTCAGGCTTAGGATAATGTAATAATAATAATCCTTGCATTTGATATAGCGCCTTAGTGCTTTACATAACGTTCTGTAAAGTGTAGTGACTGTGTATTTTATGGGCGAAACTTCTCAGCCAGTTTGCGCACAGCAGTGTCCCACAAACAGTTGTGGCGTGAGTGACCAATTTTATTTTGGGGGATTTTAAGTCAGGACACCGGGAGAAAGAAACTCCCTTCTCTTTTCGAATAATGTCTTGGGATCTTTAATGTCCAACTGAACAGGCAGATGGGACTTCAGTTTAGCGTCTCATCTAAAGGACGGCACCTCTGACAATACAACACACGCCCAGCGCTGGGCTGGAGCATCAGCTTATGCTATGTGATTCTGGCACCGTGGAGTTATTCTCTGTACTGAGCTCACAATCAGGCCCCATTGCAGTGTTCTGCCACAAAAGCACTCAGCGAAAATGCCTGTGTCAGCAACTCCTGACCAGTGAGACACCAGTAAGAAGTAGGACTGAAGGATGCAGCCTTATTAATGGTGTTTTAATGATCACGTTCACGTGGCTAGTCAGCCACCAGCAAGCCACATGATCGAACGGGAATTATCCATCAACGTGACAGCCTGGCTCTGCAACTACTGCTCTCGGCCTCTGAGACACAAATAATAATAATCCTTGCATTTGATGTAGAACCTTGTCTCAAAGCATTTCACAGAATATATTGTAAAGTGGATTGACTGTGTATTTTTTGTGTGGCAGAGACCCGGCAGCCAATTGTACACAGCAGTGTCCCACAAAGTCATTGATTGAGTGACCAGAATTTCTTGTAATGTATTTTGCTATCTTATTGCCAGCAGGGTGAAACCTTAGGCAAATTTCCTTACTTCACATGCCTCTATTTACCTAGCAGTAAGTAGGAACCCAGTTGTTAGTCGATCGGCAGATCGCTTTCTGGGGATAATTCACCCTCTGCCTCCACCCTCGACTCCAGAACCATTGCTGTCCTCACACACTGCCTATCGGACATCAAGTCCTGGGTGAGAGCTAACTTTCTCCAGTTCAATGTCAACAAGACGGAGGCTCTCCTGCTTGGCTCCCATCAAATAATAATTTGGTCACTCAATTCATGACCGTTTGTGGGACACTCCTGTGCACTCTGTGAAGCACTTTGAGATGCAATAACGTGTTATATCAAATGCAAAGATTATTATATTACTATGACACCCAGTCAGTCACCAATTACTGAGACCACCACAGACGGTTGACTGGATTCTGACAGTCTGTTGTCAAGCACAGTGATAAATAATCCTTGCATGTGATACAACATCTATGATGACATTGAGATGTCTCAAAGCACTTCACAATGTTTTATTGTAACTGTAGTGGCTGTGTAGTTGTAGGCAAAGATGGCAGACAATTTGCGCACAGCAATATCCCACATCACCTTGGAGACAGCTCAGCTATAAGAAGACTCCACTTACTTCAAGGATCAAATCAAACTTAAATTGAAGGATTACCTCCCACACCCCTACCCCAACCCCTACACGCCCCAGGGAATAGTGAT